GCATTTTCATTTATGTTTGGATATTGCTGGCAGGAGTGCAAACTGGTCCACAGAAACTCTGAAGAAGTGTTAGGCACTTTCTGATAAAGTGATTCCTAGGGCCAGGTCTTGAACGGGGCTTGATGGCATTTTGTGGAGGTGATGGGAATGTTTTGTGTCTTAATTGTGGTGGTATTTTCCTGAGAGTATATTTGTCAAGAGGCATTGTACTGTACATTTTAAATGGGTACATTTTATTATACATAATTTATATCTCAATAAAGTTGATTTAAATATATATATTTAAATTTAAGTTAGTCTCCCAAGGCTGACTTAGGATATTCTGTACATAAGATGTATGTACTTAAGTACATTGAGTACAAATGCCAATGTTATGGCCGAAGTCATGAAGGTTGTCTATCAAACAGTGAAGTTGGGGAAATGTGGAGTCAGTGAATAAATGGATAATAGGAGACAGAATGAATGAACAAATGAATGAATGAGTAAATGAACAAATGAATGAATATCTACCCCATTTATGGTAATGAATCCATTCTACAGAGTCCCCAGAACAGCGGGTTGGGAAGGAGGGAGGAGACACTGGTAGTTGTTCTCAAAATTCCATCTTCAGGGGCCTCCCTGGTGGCGCAGCGGTTGAGCGCTGGGTTGCGAAGCTGCCCACGGCCTCTGCGGCGTCGGTTTGATCCCCGGCTGCTCCCCGGCAACCAGAGGAGGGTCCCACATGGCGCACAGACCTCTCCTGCCGCCCGCTGCTCCCCTCAGCAGTGTACTTTGTCAGTCTGCCTGTTCTGTTCCCGCTCTGGCTCTGGTGAATTCTCTCACCCTCCCGCGTTTCTGATTGTACCCAGTGCATGTATAAACAAAACAAACAAGCAAACAAACAAATAAATAAAACATGCCTCTATAAATAAAAAAATCCATCTTCAAGCACTGTGAACCAAGGATGATAAAATAGGACTTACATTTTAGTAGATGCTCAGTCAATGGATTGACATTAACAAGGCCCAAATAGTTCCAGTAGTTCAGCACTTCCAAAGTAATAATGATGTGCCCTCAAGGAACAGGACAGCCTGGTAGTCATAGGAATGGCCTCCAGAACTGCTGGGTTTGAATCTTGCTGGGTCTCACCCCTGCTGTGTGTCTGTGGGCAGGAGACTTCATCTGTCTGAGCCTCAGTTTTCTCACCTGTGAAGTAGGGATAATAAGTATACCCAGCTTGTGTGGTTGTTGTGAGGATTAAATGATTTGCTATCTGGGAAATATTCAAATAACCACAAAAACTCTCTTTTTGTTAAATGAAAAAGTTTAAAAAGGGAGTGAGGGCATGGGAAACAAGACCACCATCTGTAGGGTAAGGAAAAATGTCAGGCTTTTCTGCCCTCCCGCCATCAGGATAGATGATGGATCCTTGCAGTCCTGAATGCATGCCTGATGGCGGGCACCTGGAGTAGGGTGTGGGCATAGGTAGATGGGATTCACCTGGGCTAAGACTGCGCTTTTAAGGGCGGCGTCACAGGGGCTCCAGAAGCCAAAAGAGAAGCAGCAGAAGCCGAAGCAGAAGCAGAGAACGCCAGAGAGCCCAGATAGAGTGAAGGGGGGCTGGGAGGACTGCCAGCCTCCCAGCCCCCCAGCCTGCCGCGTACCCGCTGAACCCCAATAAAAGACCTGCAAAAAACCACTGAGGACTCTGACTGCTCCTTTACCCGGTCTGCATGGGATCAGGAAGACCTGCCCTGTGTCCATTCCTGCCTTTACACCATCCTTTTCAGTCTCTGCTATATTGTGAAGATTAAATAATTTAAATAAAGCCTTCATTAACACTTAGTAGGGGCTGGTGCACAATAGCTGCTGTCCCAAGAGGTGAACTTACCCAGGTCCCACAGCCCCTGTGGCAAAGCCAAGGTGACTCCCCTCACAGACACAAAATTATAGCAATGGTAGTGGCAACAACAACAGTAATAGTAAGGCCACCACCAGCAATGGTATTTCCCACCCCAGCTGGGAGCGCTGGAACTCAAAGCTGTCACTGGCCACACCTGCCGGCGGCTGGGGTCCATTCCTCCTGCTCTCACTCCCTGCGGGGCGGGATGGTGACCAGCACAACCTTCCCCAGGACTGGCCTGGGGACGGGCCTCAATCCCACCGCCCGGGGGGCCAAGCAGGGGCCCTGGGTAGTATGGGAGCCCCCTCCTGCCCCTCCCCACCCGGGCGTCGAGCACCGCTCTCCGGAGCTGCGGGGCCTGGAAGCCTGGAAGACATTACACGGCTGTCGGCCGGGGGCGTCGCTGCGAGTTCCGGAGGGGGTCCCGGCGCGGGGCGAGGGGACCGCCCCACCACAAAGCGAGCTTTGTTCTACGCTCCCCCCGGGAGCTGGAACCAATGGATTGGCGGCAGCTGAGGTCATCTGTCAGGCAGCTCCGGGGGTCAGGCCGGGGGAAGGGGCCGCGAGGGAGGGTGGGGCGGATGGGCAGGCTGGATCCGTGGGGGAGGCGATTAAGGAGGCCGGGCTGGCTGGGGCGGTCGCTGCTTCACTTCGGGTCTCAGTTTACTCATCTGTCCAAGAGGGAAGATAGTTTCTGCTCTGTCCACCTCTAGGGACTACTGTTTTCAAGTATGAAGGTGACAACAACGATGCTGCTGCTGCTGCTGCTGCTGCTGAAAACTCTTTGGTAAGGAGCACTTCCGACCTTTCTGCACTGTGGAAGTGCTCCTGTAGGGATTTGAACCCTAAAGTCTGGGTGGGAATATGGAAGCAAATGTGGTATAACAGTGGGTGTGGATGGGACACAGGGATGGAGGGTTTTGCACCCCTTCTGGGTTAGAGGAATCAGGACCTCCCCTAGTTCCTGCTTGGGTCATGGTTGTCAGCCTTGACCTGCCTTTTGCCAGGGCTGATGAGAGTGGAGCCACCTAGACCTAAGGCCAGGGACTCCTTGGAGCCACCCTCCATGCCCCCTATGCCAGGGTAAAATAGGGTTGCGCCCCGCACCCCCAGCACAAAGTGTTTTTCTGATTCAAGATAGATCAGGATCTAACACTTTCCTTTACCACTTTAAGACTAGACCCTGTTTCTTCACTCACTTCATCTATGAGTGCCTTTGTTTCCCCATCCATACAGTGAGACAGTTAAGACACACAGTCCAGGGGGCAAGACTATCAAGCCCAGGGATTCCTCAGATTGCCCCCCAAAATGTGTGCTTCAGATCCTTAACCAAAGACCACCACCCAGAAAATGTTCAGAATCATGGGCTGGAGGGCAGGGAAGGAGAGCAGCCTCCCAAATGCTTCAGCTTGCCTCTAATATTTCACTATTAATACTTAATTACAGGGTCTTCCCGGTGGCGCAGCAGTTGAGTGCTGGGTTGCGAAGCTGCCCGCAACCTCTGCAGAGCCGGTTCGATCCCCGGCTGCTCCCCGGCCACCAGAGGAGGGTCCCACATGGCATGCAGACCTCTCCTGCCGCCCGCTGCTCCCCTCAGCACTGTACCTCGGTCCTTCTGTCTGCTCTGCTCCCTGCTCTGGCTCTGGTGAATTCTCTCACCCTCCCGCGTTTCTGACTGTACCCAGTGCTTGTATAAATAAATAAATAAATAAATCTTTAAAAAAAAAAACAAACTTAATTACAGTCTTCTCTTGGTATCCTTAGGGGACTGGTTCCAGGACCCCCAAGGATACCAAACTCCACAATACTCCGTCCCTTATATAAAATGGCTTAGTGTTTGCATATTAATATACACATCTTCCCGTATTATTTGAATAACCTCTACATTACTTATATCACCTAATACAATGGAAAAGCTATGTAAATTGTTGATTGTTACACTATTGTTTAGGGGATGATGATGAGGGGAAAAGGCTGTACCTGTTCAGTATAGACCCATTACAGAGGCCAGGTTGGTTGAATCTGTGGATGCAGCACTTTTGTATACAAAAATCTGACTATGATTAGCACTTTAATATCTGTTTTAAAGGTGATCCATTCACATATTACTTGTGAAATACTAAAATAATTTAAAAAATCCACCACAGTAAAGGGAGTCAGTTCCAGAGGGGACACAAGGGTCCCTACTGGGCCTTTCACTGGGTTCGGGTTTCCTGGGACAGTAGTTTGTTGGGGGAGTGCACATTGCTGGACCAAGGACACCCGGAAGAGACATGTGGGTCAGCCTGGAGGATCTAGAAGCTTCTTGGAGGAGGTGCTACCTTTGTTGAACTTGAGACCCTCTGGTACAGCACCTCCTTCCTGGAGACGAGGAGACAGGCCTGGAGAAGCCATGATGTGTGTAAGGCCACGGAGCCAGATTAGTCAGAACGTGAAACTCCAGACTCCCAGTCAGTTCTCCTCACCCCTGGATCCCTGGTTCAGGTCTCCTCAGCCAGCTTCCTCCCTCCATTACCCCCCAAGGCAGTTGTTCTGCCCCTAGAGGTGCACCCTAGTTCTGCAGGTCAGAGGGCAGCGCCACCTGCTGGTGTTAGAGGGAAACGCAGCTCAGTCTCCATTGAGCGCAGTCTGCAGGGCTTCCCTTTGAAATCTCAGCTCCTCTTCCTTAAGAATGACCAACCCTTCTCACTTTAAGTCTCTTCTGCACATCCTTCCCAGTGCCTAGCAGTACCCCTAGCACCTTGCCCCCCGCTTGAGTCTTACCTGCAAGAAGGAAAAGCCCTTTCTGAAGGGGCAGCCACCCACTCACTCTAGCCCGGTGGATGCAGGAGTTGATTACTCATGGGAGGCAGAGGCACCACACTACAGCAGTTTACAAAGTATGTCCTCAGCGCCTGACCCTTGCTAAAAACCTCAGGGATAGCGAGTTCATTTGACAGACCCCTCAGGGAAGGGTCTGCCCAAAGTCACACAGTAAATGGATGGCAAACCAGTACTAGAACAAGGGGCTCTGCGACCCAAGCATCTTTCCTCTCCTTTGGGAGTGAAAGGGGACTGTTACCATAGTTGAAAATAATTAATGCAGCCTAGATCAGTGGTCATCAGCCTATGGGTCTTGAACAGCAACATTAGCATCACCTGGGAACTTATTAGAAAAGCCAACTCTTAGGCGCCACCCCAGACAAACTGAATCAGAAGCTCTGGGGCTGGGGTTCAGCAAACCCATCTGAGAACCTAAAACACTGATCTAAAGCTTTTAGATCTAAATAAACTTTTATTTGGGAATGATTTTTGATTTACAGAAAAGTTACAAAGAAAACACACAGTTCCCATCTACTCTGCACCTATCCTACCCTGTGAACATTGCTATATTAACTAAAATCCAGACCATCTGCAGATTGCCCATTCTTCCATTAATGTCCCTTCCTCTCATCCCTCTGCCCCACCTTTTTTTGTTCCAAGATCCAGTCCAGGATATCACAGCGCAGTTAGGACTACATCCTTTTAAAATTCCATTGGTCACCTCAGTCATCTTTCCCTGGGAGAAGGGGGAAGGCAGAAGCTGTTGCTTACTGAGCTGGGGATCTGGGGAAACTAAGGCTTGAAAACACCAAGTGATTGAGTTCTCTTAGCAGGGCAGAGAGAGCAAAGTCTATTTCTCTCTGCAGTCTCCCCTCATCCCCTGCCCCAGGACTGTTTTCAGAAGCCCCTTGGATCATCCCATCTGGTTTACTCCCATCCTTCCAGGACAAAGAGAGATGCCCTCACTAGAATAGGCCGAGCCCTGGCAGAGATCGGCCCCCTGCCCCATCACCTCCTTCCCTTTAAAGGACCAGGACAATATCTCAGTGACTTTTAGCCTGGACAGAACAAGACTCTGTGCAAGAGAGAGAGAGAGACAGAAAATAACACTGTTATTTGCTTATCCAAAACTATTTGTGACAGATGAAAAATGCCACAAATTCTTGGGCAGTTTCTCCAAGAGATGTAGTTTGCTTCCCTACCACTTGAATTGGGCCAGCCTGATCATTGGCTCTGACCAAAAGAACTTAGCAGAAGTGATGGACCAATTCTGGGTCTAGGACTCAAAGAGCCTTGCGGTTTCTACTCTCACTCTCTTGGAAACCTGTGAATAAACCTGAGCTAACCTGCTGGGGAGACTTCACAGAGGCCCAGCCAACAGCCAGTCAACAGCCAGATGAGTAAGTCAATCCTAAACTACCCAGCCCCACCTGACTGCTGTTGGTGTGCGGCTCCATGAGTCACCCAGGTAAGGTCAGCAGAACTGTCTGGATGAGCCCAGCCCAACTGACAAGCCACAAAATTATAGGCAAATAGTGACTTGCTTTTCATTGCTAAGTTTGGGGATGGTTTGCTACATGGCAAGGGCTAGTTGATGCACCATTCTTCATTTCTCTCTTGATAATAAGAATTTGATTTTATTTCAGGAGGAAATGTGTTTGTCCCAGGAAATGAGATATGACTAGTCTACTCAACTGGGACAATTCTCTCCTTTGCTATCTTAGCTTTTCTTGCAGCTAGGGGTGACAATGGTAGCTGGTTTGGGCCCAGGAAATACAGGAGGAGAGACCAAAAAAAAAAAAGGTTTGATTTTATGATAGAAGTTGACAGGTCCAGTTGACTCAGCCTCTCCTCTTCCCTAATCCTTTCTTCCTTGAACACAGATGTGATTTTTGGAGGTACAGCAGCCATTTTGTGACCAGGAAGTACAGGTGATGAAGGAAAGTTCAGAGAGATCGCAAAGATGTGAGTTCTTGGACCAACACCACTAGCCACCTATCCCCAGAATTCATGTTCTGTGGAAAAACAAACCCTGTAACCTAGGTTTTCTTTGACTTGCAGGTGAGCTTATTGCACATAATGGGCTATATCAAAACAAAATGTAGAGGGATCCTTTGTCCTTGGGAATCTGGAGCCAGCAGCCTGCAGCTCTCCAAATCCATCTCCTTGTTCATTTCATCCTCTCATGGGTCCTTCAAGAACACGGTCACCACCCATTTTCACGGAAATGGGAACTGGCACCCGCATACTGTTCAGTGATTCCAAGGTTTTGGAGCCCAGTAAGAGGATGCTCAATGTGCATCCCTGCTACACCGACTGCATGGCCCAGCCCACTGAAGGCCATGAGTGTCCTCTGGGCTATTGGGAGTGGTGGCAGGTGCCAAGGAAACTGCTATTGCAAGTTCGGCGTGGAAGCGCCCAGGTATACCCTTAGGTCTGAGAGGGTGGACTGGACAAGCTTGGCAGGGATGGTTTCTCGCTGTAGCTGCTGGTAGGCTGCATAGCGGTGGCAGCCTCCAAATGAGTAGAAGTAGTCACCACCTTGGGCTCCTTTGATCCAGAGGACATCGATGGGGGGCACACTATCTGGGTCCTCCTGGAGAGAGAGGGACACAGGGTGCATGAGCATGGCACAATGCTGGACAGTTTGCAAAGCAGACTCGGTTCCCCTGTCTTGAGCTCCTACATGGTGCTCACTCTGGCTAACACAAGACAACTGGTAGATATTTAGGAATTCTGGAGCTGGTTGGCATCACCTTGGCAACTTGAAAATCATCCATGTTGAGAATATGTACAGGAAATGGGTAGTGGCGGCTAGTTGGGGCTTCCTTTCCTCTCCCCCTCCAGAGCTCAGGTTATTAAACACTGACCAACATAGCACATGCGTACTAGGGGGCTAGCACTGTCCTAGAGGCTGACAATAAGTCACAGCCTGAAAGAGACACAGCCCCTGTCTGCAAGGGGCTTCCATCTGGTTGGGCAGATGGAATGAGGAGCGAATGTTAATAAATGCTATGAGGGTGATCAGATAGGGCGACAGGGCAGTGAGGGCCACAGGCCTCTCTGAGGTGACAGAGGAGTAGAGACCACAGCATAGAGGAGTCCATCTGGGGAGACAAAGAGGAGGAGTTGTTCAGAGGCCGTGCCCAAGACTGCCTGGCTTGAGTCTCGGATCTGCTACTCAATTGCTCTCTGTGGCCTGTCGGCAATGGCAATCTCTTTGTGCCTCAGTTGTCCCATCTATCAAATGGGGATGACAAAAACAGACCCACCTCATAGAGCTGTTGGATAGAATGAGTTAATATAGACAAAGCACCAATAACACATGCTGTGTATGGCTTGAGGGGAAGTCATTCCTGAGAGGGGCAGGTCCTGCTAATGCAAAAGGCCTGAGGTCAGAACAGGTTCACTACATCACAGGCTTGGCCAGGAGGTCCTGGGGTGAGAGGCCCAGTGACACCAGAGAAGTCCCCAGGAGCCTGCTCATTCCCATTTGCTTCTAAGAGCAATGGGTCAGCCCAGTGTTTTATTTTTATTTATTTATTTATTTTAAAAGATTTATTTTATTCATACAACTGCTGGGGTATAGGCCAGATGCGTGGGAGGGTGAGAGGATTCACCAGAGACAGAGCAGGGAACAGAACAGGCAGACTGACGAAATACACTGCTGAGGGGAGCAGTGGGTGAGACAGGAGAGGTCTGCCGGGACATGTGGGACCCTTGCTGGCTGGCAGGGATCGAACCGGTGCTGCAGAGGCTGCGGACAGCTTCACAGTGCAGAGTGCAACCTCCTGTGCCACCAGGGAGGCCACCTGGAGCATTTTAAACAAGGGATGACACGATCTGTTGAACAGTCTAGACAGTTGTCATAGGTGACCTGGCTTGGTGGGTGGAAGAGGCAAAAGTAGAGAGACCAGAGGCCAGGCCTCTGCAGATATTCAGAGGAAGACACTAGCCTGAGTGCGAGTGTGGAGGGAAAAGGGAGAGGTAGACAGGTGTGGATACCTTGGGGGGCAGCTCTGAGGGCACAGGTAAAAAGGGTGAATGTGAGAAGAGGAAGAGAAGAATCTAAAACCACTTCTTGTCAGAGTCCTGAGCAGAGAGTAGGGGGTTCCCCTAAGGCAGTGTGGGGCTGGGGAGAGAACTTACTGGGAGACCATACCCAATAGGCTCCACCAAAGACCTCCTGCCACTGGCCTAGGGGTTCTCTCTCATTAGGCTGTTTTGGTGGATTCATTTATCCATTTATTCCAGAAATGATTAAGCAGTGAGATCCCGCAGTTATGAGCTGGGATTCTGGAACCTGGCACACCAGAATTAGAATCTCAGATCCCTCACAGAGGAGCTAGGGCACCTGAGCAGGTGGCCTCACCTCTCTGAACATTTTTCCTCACCTGTAAAATGGGAATAAGATACTCAGTAGAGCTGTGGATGAAGAGGCAAGGAGCCGATGATATGAGGCCAGGCTGCCCAGGAGTGGAGCACACAGGAGGGGCATCTGTGCCAGGCAGGCCTTGTGTTGGTTGCTGGGGGCATGATGGTGAGTGGGCAGAATAACAGCTCCCCCAATGTCTCTGTACTAATCCCTGGAACCTTACACAGCACGAGGACTGTGCAGGTGGAATTAGGAACTCGAGGTGAGGAGGTTCCCCTGGCTGATGCAGATGGGTCGAATATAATCCCCAGGGTCTTAAAAGTGGGGAGAGAGGCAGAAGAGGAGGTGTGATGCTGCTGGCTTTGAAGATGGAGGAAAGAGGCCAGGCGCCAAGGAATGTGGGTGGCCTCTAGTTGCTGGGAGAGACAAGGAAAGGAATTTTTTCCCAGAGCATCCAGAAGAGAACGCAGTGCTGCCAACACCTTGATTTTAACTCTGAGCTTCTGAGCTCCAGAATAATAAAATAATAAACCTGTGTTGTTCTAAGCTACTAAGTGTCTGATCATAGAAAACTAATACACAAGGTCAGCAAAGACAGGCCTGGTTCTTGCCCTCGAGGAGCACATGTTTCTTGTTTGGAAGACAGGTGTCTAAACAGGCCACGAAAAGCCAGTGGGATGTGAGCTATGCGGGGGGGGGGGGGGGGGCAGGCAGCTGGCTGGGGACCCACAGGAGGCCGGAGCCCCATAGGGGCTGTCAGGGAAGACCAGGACACTGAGACTGGAAGACCAGAGAGGGAGCTGGAAACAATAAAGAGAAGGAAGAGTTTTCCTGGCAGGGAAAAAAGCCTGTGTAAGAAAGGTCCAGGGCAGGAGAGAACATGCATGGTTACTCCCTCTACAAAGAGTTAGGTTAGGACTAAGTGCCGGCTCTTGTGCAGTTCACGCTGGGCTGGGGAAGGCAGCCAATAAAACACAACAGCGAAACGTGCACTGTAACTCAGGGGAGAGAGCTTAATGGAGATAAATCTCAGGTGAAGGGGAAAGCCAGAGAGGCCAGGGCTTCTTGAGTATGGGCAGGCAGGGAGTGGGTAGACTGGACCAAGCAGGGGGCAGGCCTGGGGGCAGCTGAAGTGCTTCCAGGAGGTGGGAACAGCAGTGTAAATTCCAGGACTGGAGCAGCTCCAGGAGCTAGAGGGGTGTTTGGTGGGGCTTTTGGGAGTCAGTGGTCCCCTTCCCAGGGTCTGGGGGAAGGGAATATGATTCTCTGCAGGCCTAACCTGACACATAGGTATCCCCTCCCCTCCAAGTTCCTGCAAGGGTCACGCCAGCATTCTTGAACACCCTCCCTCTGTGTAGTGCTGACACCTGTCCTCTTCTAGTTCCGGTTCAAAAAAAACCGGCCCTCCCAGCAGACAAGACACACCCAGCCTCACAGCCTCTGACAATCAGAAACGATGGCCTGGCTTATCTTGGGACGGCATGGTGGAGTGGCAGCTGGATAGAAGGGGGCCACTCTCTCAATGTCTGACCTTGGACAATTGCTTAAATCCTCCTATGCCTCAGTTTCCTCCTCTGTTAACAAGGAGCAATACTAGTATTTCACTCACAAGGTTGGCACGAAGAAGCCAAGGCACTTGGGGGCCACGGCAAGTGCTCTTTATAAGAATTAGCGATCGTGATGTGAATGGTCTCCTTCAGCCCCCTTCTTGCTCAAGTGGGGCAACAGAGCCCAGAGAGGCGCAGGCATTTGCTCAAGGTCACACAGCAAAGGGCGAGTTCTGGCTGGCGCCGGAACCTATCCAATCTCGCGCCCAGAGCGACCTCCGTCCCCCAGCCCACCCCGCAGCTCTCCCTCCGGCCAGCCTCCCCGGGGTCTCACCCGGATGGTCTCCACAAGGCTCTGCACCTTGGCCGGGTCCAGCACGGACGGCAACGGCCGGATGAGCACCCTCAGCGGCACGTTGTGCACCGCGGCGATGCAGCCCGAGTGGATGCTGCCGCCCGGCGCGCCCCCGCTGGGCCCGGGTCCCTCGGGCGCGCCTCGCCCCGCTCCCGCCCTGCCCAGCCTTCCTCCCGCGCGCAGCCCCATCGCCAGCCTCTGCCGCGGCGGGACGCAGCCTCCCTCCGGCTTTTACCCGGGCCGGGCCGTACCACTTTGCTCGGACGGGCGGGGGCGCCCCGGGCCGGTGCCGAGCGCGTTTCTACCCGCGCCCTGCAGTGGTCCCGCCCTACCCCGAGCTCCGCACCCCGACTTCTGCTCCACTCGCTGGGCGCAGGTCGACCCGTGCAGCTCTCCGCAGGGGGCGCCTTGCGGTCTCCCCTCCGCCGCGCGGCGTCCCGGGAGTGGAGGCGCCGGGGCGGGCTGACTCAGGGTGAGTTTGCAGGTCGTGGGGCGGGGGGGCCGCGGGTGACGCACAGTCCGGGGTGACTCAGGCCCGCGGGAGGCGGGGACCGGGACGAGGTGGGGGGTGGCCAATCCTGCCGAGCCAGGATGAGTCGGCAAAACCCGCAGTGATGGGCCAGGATAGCTGTCGCGGAGGTGATGCTGATACCTGCACCAGCAGTAACTCGACGAACCTGCACTGCTCTAAGCACCTCGCATGTGTCTTGTTTCGCTTAGACCTCGAGACAACCGCGCGCGCCGGGTGTGATGATTATGCCCATTTTACAGAGGCACAGCGAGGTTTAAGTGAATTGTCCAAGTTGCCGAGCTAATGAGTGAATGAATCGGGCCTCAAATCCAGGCTTTCCCTTTCTGGGGCGCGCTCTCTACCCCACCTCTGACTGCCTGGGTTCAGCGAAAGTAACAGTCACAAGGAGCCTTCTGGAATCGGGCTGAAAATGTGTGGGCACTGCCCTAAAGTTCCACACTGTCACGACAGCCTCACAGCACCAGGGGGAAGTAAGTGTGGCCAGGGTAGGGCAGTTGAAAATGAAAGTCAAATATCTGAGCCCAGAGTCCAGAGGAAGTAACCACCTAACACCTGCTTTCAGGTGCGGAAGCCAAGGCTGCAGAACATGTGCTGAAGACTTAGGTCCAGAGCCTGCCTACCAAACTCTCTTTTGAAGTACTCTGTCCCCTTGGGCTCACATTCAGCACCGTCTATCCTCAGGGGTCAGAGAGCAATAGGCAGAGGTTACTGGTTTTTATTGGCCCCTATGGCAACATTAGGGCCTTTGACACAGACTGGCCTGTGTTGAGGTCCTATCTGACCACTCCTTTGCTGGGTGGTTTCAGTCAAGTTGCTTAAACGCTGAGCCTTAGCCTTCTCTTCTGTAAAATGGTTGTGGGGAGATTGTGGGGATGATAGGAGATATTCGCTAACTGAGGATGGGTGGAGGGTGGTGGTAAATCAGTGCTTACATAGTGATAACCAAGGATGGCGACTGCTTTTACCCTGAACACCCCAAGTGCTGACGGAGAGGCCAATTTGACCAAGAGCATCAAGAAAGGCTCTAGGGAGGAGTGGCATCAAAGTGGAAATCGGTGAGAAGGTGAGGAAAGAAGCAGGTGAATGTTGAGGGCGTGTACGCTCTGGAATCAACTGAATGGCATGGATTTGAATCCTGGTGCCACCACCCGCTACTGGCAGTTTGATGATGGGGGGGGTGCAGTATTACTCAACTTCTCTGTACCTCTATTTCTTCCCTGGATTGCCAAGGAGAGTATATGAGAATAACATATTAAGTGTTAAGAAAGGTACCTGGCACATAGAAAGTGCTGAATCAAAGGCAGATATGAGGGATATCCACCCACAGGAGCAACTTGAGCAAAAGCAGGGAGGTGGGACCATCCTATACCCAGCTCAAGACAGGCATGTCTGGTTTGCTTGTCCTCTTCCTTGCCCCAGTTGGCACATGCCTGGGAAATGCACACTGCCAGCCAGACCTACACATGGTCTCTCCGTGTGGCTTGGGCTTCCTCTAAGCATGGCCGCTGGCTTCTAAGGGCACGTTTCCCAAGAGAACCAGGCAGAAACGGACCTTTTCCAATCTAGGCTTGAAAGTCATATAGCATCATTTCTATAGTATTCTATTTCCAGGATCTGTCCTACATCCCCAGGCTTGAGGAAAGGGGCAGAGAGTTCATTTATTGATGGCAGGAGTAACAAGGTTCTAGAAGGGCATTTGGGGTGGGAGGTATTGTGACCATCTTTGGAAGACACATCTGCTATTGGGGATGATCCCAACAAGGACTGGGGAGGAGAGACACTGCACTGAAGGGCTCGCTAATGTGCAGGCTGGCTTGGAGGGCACCTGGGGAGCACCATGCATCCTGCATCAGAACTGTTCCTCTGAAGGGTGAGGGGGCCTGCATATGTATTCACTGACTGCTGTCATTCCTCCCCCTCCCCTTGAGGGTGGCCTGAGGATGTTAAATATCTGCCATTTTTGGACTGTTCTGTGCTCAAACCGAGCAAGCGTCTGAGGATCCAGAGGATGAAGCTGTCTTCTTGGGGTGACCCAAGGGAATAAGGACATCAATAAATTCCTTTTCTGTCCAAACCAGCTGGAGTCCACATTTCTTGCCTGCATTCAAAGGCCCCTGCTACCTGCTCTCCCCATCCTGCTCCTGGTCTTCCTGATCATCCCTTAGTAGGTGGCCCAGATGCGGCACTCACCCCTTCTCTTTCATTTTGACAAATAATCTCATAATGCAGCATTCGGGTGTGCAAAGAACCTCCCTGAATGGGAAGACGAAAGGATTTCTGTGCCACAAAAGGAACATTCGTTTGATCTTATATTCCCCTCCCTCTAAAATGCACTCGTCTGTTTCTAAGCTTGGATTGCAGAATCCTGCCATGTTGCTTGGTCCCATTCTCTCTTTTTGCTTCTCCATCTCCTCTAAGTTCCCATTCTTATTTTAGGTGGATACTTTTTACCTCTTCTGTAGCTTTGATACCTGCTGAGCATCATCTTGGGGTCCTGAGGTGGCTCTGCACTTAAACTGTTTTTCCTCATAGTCACAAGGTGACTGCCAGTGCCCACTGGGACTACCTCCTCCTTTGTTCATGGCTCAGTCAGCTCAGACTGCTGGAACCAAATACCATAGTCTGGGTGGCTTTAAGACAAACATTTCTCGGGGGCCTCCCTGGTGGCACAGTGGGTTGATCACCATGCTGTGGAGCTGTGTGCAACCTCTGCAGCATGGGTTCGACTCTCGGCTGGCCAGGGAGAAACCTATGAGAAAGCCACATGAAGTGGCAGACCTCCTGCCTCGCCTGCTGCTCCCCTCAGCAGTGACTTTGGTCTGTCTGCCTGTTCTGCTCCCTGCTCTGTCTCTGGTGAATTCTCTCACCCTCCCACGCCTCTGACCTGTACCCCAGTTCTGGTATAAAAAAATAAATCTTAAAAAAAAAAAAAAAGACAAACATTTCTCACAGTTCTGGAGGCTGAAATGCACAGGTCTATTCCATCATTTTAGAGTAAGGGTTTTCTTCTCAGGGTCACCTCCTGGCTCAGGATTGCTGCTGGAAGGAGGGGGGAGAAATGGAAAGGCAAAAGGCTGTGACCCCTCCTTGTTTGGGTGCTGACTTAGCAGTTCCATAGTACACCTTTCCTTGTGTGTCATTGACCAGAAGTTGGTCACCTGCCACCCTGGCATTAGGGCAGCTAGGATATGTAGTCTTCATTCAATATGGCAATGTGCTCTGCTAAAATTGGAGTTCTCTTACCAAGGCAGGAGAGAATGGAAATTGATAAATAACTAGCACTCTGAGTCACAGCTCTCAAGTTACAGGTTTTATGACTCAGAGAGAAGGAGAAAGGAAATTTCCAAGTTCTTGTCAGATGTCCACATATGAACCTATCAGCTATGGCTGTGAGGGACAGTCTTTTTTAAAAGCGTAAGTCATCATTATTGATTATGACTTAAATGTGTGTAGTTCATTAAAAAATAATTACTGGTCAACTGCTATTGGCTAGGCACTGTGCTAGACCCAGGGGACTTAATGATGAACAAAAAGACACTTCAGTCTCGATCTATGTCCCGAAATAGACTACAAGCTTCATGAGACAATGACCTAATAATGACATTGATTAATGGAAAAGTGTAAGTGCTGTGAAGGAACAGCATGTGGCCCCTGAGGAAGTGACCTCCCCACTGGGAGATGAAGGATGAAAAGGCATTAAGTAGTAAGGTGTGGTGGTGATAGGGGGACAGATACAGTATATTGCTGGTGGAGTGACTAGCTTATGCAAAGGCCCTGTGGCGGTGGTGGGGGAGAAAGATTGTCGAAAAGAGACAGATGGAACTCCAAGAGAAATGGGTTGTGTGTGGCTGAAGATTCACCTGGAATGATAGAGCCAACCCGGGTGGGGTTTCGTAAGCCACCCAGGCAGATCCACTTTCCCCACACACATGGTGGGAAGTTATTGAGTATTTTAAGCAGAAAAGGGGAATGGGATTGACATGATTAGACCTGCCTATGTTAAAAGATGCCTCTGGCTGCACTGGACAGAGGAAGTGAGCAGGAGGAAGCAGAATGGGTCTAGGGAGATCACTTTGAAGGCTGGTCTAATTTTCTAGATAAGCAATGATAAGAGCTATGGACTAGGGATGAAGACTGAGAAGATGTAGAGAAAAACATCAGCAGAACCTGGTGATGGATCGGATGGTGGGAGAGATGACTTCTGGGTTTTGTGGCTGTTTAAGACGGGATGGGCACTGTTGCCATTCCGAGGAGGATCAAATTCTGGTTTCATTCTTAGGCTGATCTGTGGTCCTTGGAGATATCCAAGTGGGGGTGACCTGTGGGCAGATGTGGATTTATGGATCAAAGAGAAGATTGGAGGTGAAAAATGTAAATTTGTGAGTCATCTGCATGTGGGTGGAAATGGAAGCCATGGTGTAATGAGATTTTTTTATGAGAAACAGCCAGACAGGTAAGAGGAGAACCAGAGGTTGTGTCAGGATGGCTTCCATTTAGAGATTTGTGAAAAACAGACTGGATAGATATGCTAATTGAGGTGCTCAGGGTTGCAGACAACAGGGACCTGAGTCAACTGCCTCATGCAATAAATACACTCCTGCCACATGCCAGGAAGTGCAGAGGCAAAACACTGAGTGGTTTCAGGGAATGTCCTGTGGCTCCAGATGTGATCAGGATCTGTGTTTCCTCATCTCCCTCCTCTGCCATCCAGGGTATGGACTTCATGCCAAGACTAGTTCTCTTTATGGCCATAAAATGACATGCTTCCTTCTTCATATTCAGGGAGGAGAGAAACTGAGTTTCTTTTCCCTTAAAGAGAGAAAGAGGCAAAGTTTCCTAGAAGCTTCTAGGAAACCTAGGAAACCTCTCAAGTCTCATTAGCTAGAATTGAGTCCTATGCCTATCTTTCTACCCAATAGGGGTGGGATTACTCTTAGACCGGTCAAGACCACCCCTAAACTAATGTTTAGTCTGCAAATTGCATGGCTGCCAGTCCAGGAGTGAGGACTGATGAGACGGATGACAGGCCACTACAACCAGGCTGACCAGACAGTTGATGGGCACTCAGCGTCTGTTCCCGCTTCCCTCAAGGGTGCCTTTTTTATTGCAATTTGGAGAGTTAAAAAGTCATTTTTCAGACTTCTTTCAGCAAGGATAAGGTTTTATCCATTAGATGCATGTCTGTGGGGTTTGAATGGCAGAGTGGGCAGGGACATCTTACTGCCTTGTCTCTTGCTGCTGGCAAGATGGTCATGGAGACACTACGTTTTTCTTTAACAGTATTTCAGTGCTCAGCCATCAGTGTTGGAGGAGACAGGAGACAGTTACAGAGGCAGTGACAGGGGCCTCCTGACCCTGGCTGCTACGTATTATGCTGTGTTCTTAAACTCAAGAGGTCCCAGTGCTCCCTGACTCCCCTCCCCTCCCATACATGGTCTGGTTGTGAAAGTGGCAGCAAGTCCCTTGGTAGGCCAATTCTGGGGTGATGCTATGGGGGGTCTAGCTGAGGGGTCAACCTTTCAACCTTTCTAACAATTTTGTCAGCAGTCAATTTTCTGTGTTAAGTACTCTCTGCTTCAAAGGGTTTAATGCAGATCTAGACTGTGTTCTATTCCCTGAACCTGAAACAATGTAATTGAAGCAGCCGATTAGTAGCCATTGAGGATGGTATGTTGATTCTAGGAAGGCATTAGGCTCCTGTGCTCCCCCAAGCCCCATTGGAGACTGGGGGGGTTCCTACACTGTTGTCATTGCTAGAGACACTTAACACTTCGCCTTGGGATGCAGCTGCTCTTCCAGAAGTGGGCAAAGGGGAAGGTGGACAGGCACCAGGATGAGGGTCTAAAAGGTGAGTGCATGGCCTCCAAAAGGCCTGAAAGGAGATCCCAAGGGAGATAGGCTTCCAGCCTACAGCTTCTGCCCTTGATATCCAGCCCCCAAAGCACATGGGCCCTGCCTCTGTGTGAGTCTGTGTTGGGAACTGGAGATAAGCAATGTGGTGTTGGGGATGCCTGGTGAAGTTTTTTAGTAAGGCAAGCACAGATTTGTATTTTGAAAGATCACTAAGGCAGCTGGCAAGGAGGATGAGATTGGTTGTCCAACACCTTCCTGAACACTTTTGGTGAGACTCATGAATTCTAGGTGCAGCTTACTGTTTGGGGAGTTTTGCCTGCTGTGCCAAAGTCAGTCTTGTATGTATGTACCTGCTGCGTGTATGGCCAACAGGGGTGGCGGGAAGCCCAGTCACAAAAGTAGGGGCTGTAGTGGGAAGAATGTAAAGGTTGTGAACTGGCTGTCAAGGGACATTGGCTCAGAGTTGTATTTGTTTGGCAGGTGAAGTTAATATGAATTGCATGTTTATAGTGATACACACTCTTTCCTTTTTGACACAGGCTCCACCATTCCCTAATGTCTTAGGGCAAACTGCTTGATTCATTTATGTTATTGTTATAGGACAGGGAGATAACATTATTGATATGGTTCTCTAACTCTTTGAGTTTGCAACCCCAGTATTTAAGGAAAAATTAGCACTGAGGATGCCTGATATCCAAAGGGACTTTATGGATGCCAAGGGGTCCCCAGAGCTGTATGACCTCTGGAGGCAGCTATAGTCAGTTTAGGCTGCAAGGAAGGAAATGGAATGTAGAAGAAATCCCACTGCCTCTCAGAAACTCTTCTTCTTCCCTCCCACCGCCAATCATAGGGTCTAGAGGCTCTGGAGAGTGGCCAAAGTCCCTTTAATATCCCTGAATTGCTTACAAGTAATACTGCTGGAGGTGAGGAAGGGATAGGGTCTGGGGTGGGAGTTGGGGGAAGTGGAGGAGGGGAGCGCCAAGCGCTCATACAAAATATGGCCAAAAGGCTTAGCATGCATGGAAAATTATTGCTGTCGGAAGTTCCTATTTACAGGGTCAACACCCTCCATAATTGCTTCTGCGACCCCTCTCCCTCCCTCTATCCCTGTGCCTCCCTTTCCCGGCGGGCCTGGAGCTGAGAAGCCCTAGAGAAGTGCCCTTGCTCCCGGGGCCCTCCAGTTTCCACCCTCCTTTGTAAATAGGAGGAGAGTGGGAGCACGGGAGGTGTCGGGGACTCCTGCCCTGGAGCTGGGCGCCAAGCGATGGGGCAGAGGCATGTGCTTAAAGCAGAGGGGGCCAGGGCCAGCGAGCATGGAGGTGTGTGCTTCAGTCCTCGCCCGGGCATGCAAAAAGCGCGGCGGGGGAGGTAGTGGCGGCCAACGAGAGCGAGGCTGGCAGCCCTGGCCCCTCTGCCCGGGAGAGTTGCATAGACGTGGCCGGGAGGGAGCGCTCCTCCCGGGGAGCCGAGTGGGCCGGAGGCCCCAGTGGGGTCCGGGGCTCAGTCGGTCCCTGGAACCTGGGGTCCCTCGGAAAGAGGAATAAATAGGAAACAAATCGAGGAGGCTCCTCTTTCCGGTCTCCCTGGAGAGGGAGTGGAAGGCTCAGGAGAATGGGGACCTGCCCCATGACTACACCTCCTGGCATCTCCTCCCCTCCCCCATTGGAGGGTCATTAGGCTGCCCCTCCCATTCGCGAATCGCCTTCCCCAGCTAGTTCAGGCTCTAATGAGGGTGGGGCTCCTCCCTCACTTCATGGAGAACAGGGGTGAGGTGGGGCCGGGGCAGCCCTATATGGCCTTGCTGTCCCTCTCCTTGCCTGGCTCCCTGACCCCCCCCCCAGGCCCCCCCCAGTCCAGCTGGGGAAGTCAGACCGTCCCTGGGTGAGGCCAAGAGATTAAATACAATAATAAATAAATAAATAAATACACGAATAAATAACTGGAGCGGCCCAGCTGGTTGGGGTAGGGCATTTGTGAGGTGCCTCAGACCTCTCCCCAACAACTAAGGAGGGGTAACCTGTAGTCCTGGGGTAGGGGAAAGTGCTCAGAGAATCTGGGGAGAGGGCAGCTTGAGGCTGGAAGCCCAGGGAGGGGCTGTCCTGGGGTGAGAGAGGGGCTACCTTATGGAGCTGGGGCCCTGAATGCCTCTCAAGTCTACCCCAGGTCAGGGGACCCGGAGGGTGAGAGCTGCTAGGAGGATGAGAAGGTCAGGATGGAGTAGGCAGTGGGAATGGGTGTGAGTGAGAAGGTCCCCCCGAGGGTCCCAGAGAGTGGGAAATATGGGAAGGGTGAATGTGGGGGGGGGATGTTAATGGCTGGACCTAAGGCCGCGTAATGGAGAGAGTCAGGGACAGACTGGGGGCTCCAAGAAGGGTGCATGTTAGATCCCTAGAGGGCACACGTCTGGGGAGACTCAGCAGAGAGGTCAAGAGGGGTAGTCTGGAATGTGGTGTGGGGCCCGCAGGACCTGTATCCTAGTGGGCATGAGGAAATCAGGGCAGGCCTGCCTGAGAGTCAAGGGTCGGGTGAGTCTTGGATCGGGGACTACACTAGGGGAATGGCCAGAGACTCAGCGAAATGACAGGAAAGCTCTGAGAGCGAGAGGGGAGAGGCGCAGGAGAGAATTGCGGCCCCGGGGCCTGGGAGAGGTGCGGACCTGGTGCCTGAGTTGGGAGCCTTGAGGGCCTGGACAGGAGGTCAAGGTCCGTGTCTGGGCAGCCGGAAGGGACCGTGTGGTTCGGGGAGTGTCGGGGAAGACAATGCTGGAAGTGGGCTGGGGTTTGGGGGCCCGGGGAGAAAAGTTCCGGGCTGGGCAGGGCGAGGGGATGCAGCCGGGGCGGGGTGGAGAGGGCGCTGAGGGTGCAGCTGCGGGGCCCGGGGGCCCTGAGGCGCGAGGGCCGGCTCAGCTGGCGGGGCCGGCGGGGGCCGGCGGGGGCGGCTCGGCGCCCTTGACGCAGGCGGCCTCGCAGTGCTTGTGGAGGTAGGACTTGAGCGCGAAGCTCTTGTCGCACTGGCGGCAGCGGTAGTGCTTGAAGGCCGAGTGCGTCTGCATGTGCGCGCGCAGGTTGGAGCGGTCGGCGAAGGCCTTGCCGCAGTGCGCGCAGCCGAACGGCTTCTCGCCGGTGTGCGAGCGCATGTGGCCCTGCAGCAGCCAGGGCCGCGAGAAGGCCTTGCCGCACACGCCGCACTTGTGGCGCAGGTTGTGCGTGAGCACGTGCATGGCCAGGGCGGGCATGGACACGTACGCCTTCCCGCACGTCGGGCACTTGCGCGCCAGCTGGCTGTCCAGGCTGCGGTGCGTCTGCTTGTGGCGGCTCAGGTTCGACGACGTGGCGTACGTCTTGCCGCACTCGGCGCACGCGTGCCGGTGCCCGCCGCCCGCCGGCGCCCCCGCGCGCCCCGCGCGCCCCCGGCGCTCCCGGCGTCCCCCGCGCCCCCCGCGTCCCCGCCGGCCCCGCCCCGGCGCCGCCGCGAGCGCCCGTCCGAGATGAAGAAGGCGTCCATGGAGTAGCTGTCGGTCACGGCCGCCTCCCCGCGGAAGTAGCGCGCCGACAGGCTGGACTGCGGGCTCTCGGGGTCGCTGTACTCCTCCGGCGCCGCCGGCGGGTAGGCGGGCTCGGCCGGCGCCAGCTCCAGGCCCGGCTTCTGGTCCGCATCGTAGCTGCTGGGGGGCAGGCAGTGCGGGGTGTAACCTGGAGGGGCGAGACGGGACGGGGCGGACGGTGAGGCGCCCGGGAGGGCTTTCCGTGCCGGGCCTGGGCGCTCGCCGTGCCCTCCTGGCCCTCCTGGTCCTCCAGGCCCTCCCGGCCCTCCTGCCCACGCCCACGGGCCGCTCTCAGAGGACCGAGGTCGCTGTCCTACACCTCCGCTTGCCACCAGGCTGCCGGGTTCAAATCCTTCTTGGGGCACAATAAAAATAGCCTCCACTCCTCCCACCTGCAGCACGGTGCCTCCCCCACGGCTCTGTTCGCTGTGTGTTCACTGTCTTCTTCAGTGCGCACACCCACACACGAGGCTGTTATTATCACACCCACTTTACGGATAGAGACACCGAGGCATGCGGCGCCAGAGCTCGCGGCCTGTGTTGTGAGGGATGGAGCTAGAATTCAAGCCTTGGCAGGCTGCGCCAAAGGCCACGCGCTCTGTATTTCAACGATATTCCACCACACCAGTCTTGTGATTGATCTGAGTCTCGGTTTCCTCATCTACAGAATGGAACTTATAGTTGGACACTCGTTCCCGAGGTCTGTGGAAGGACCGAGTAAAGTGATGAAAAGAAACGATTATTAAAGCCTTTCCGTGCTGGGGGCTTTATCCAGTTAACTCATTTAATAGTCACAGACCTCAGCAAGTGGGTTCTATTATAACCTGCATTTCAGGTGTAAGGAAATTAAGAGCGAGAGAGCACGCCGTAACTGCTGCATAAATGTTAGCTATTATAATCATGCTTTTTACTGGAAAAAGTGACGTCTCTGAAGATTATTTGTTTGCCTCCCCCACTGGACTAAGTTTCCCAGGCCTGGATCTGTGTGCTCAGCATGTGCCTGGCTCAGAGGTGTATGATGAATGGATGTTGCATTAAGCGAGCCTCAACCTGGTTAGACCCAACTGGCAGGGTTGCCAGAAGATTTCGGAGAGGTCAAGTGTGTGGTATGTAATAGGTGCTCCAGAAAAGGAACTCCTGTACTTGCTCTCAAGACTGCTTTGCTCCCTGCTCCACTAGAGGCCATCTGGAGTCTCAAGGTAAGAATTCCTCTCTTCCTCCTCCCTCCTCTTGAGTTGGACCAGAAAAGCTGTCCCTCTTAGGCTTGAGTGATTGGTGGCTCTTCCTGGGGATGCCACGGGGACTTCCCAAGAGCAAGGGCCATGGTCTTCCCAAGAGCAAGGGCCAAGGCGCTGCCTTCAGAGCCTGCCATGGTCCTAGCGCCTTCCCTAGGGGCCCTGGGGCTGGGTTCCCAGTGACAGACATATACACGCTCATCAGCCTGGCACTAAATTACCAAGTGTTTCCACTGTCCTTTGATTTCAGGGAAACTTTCTAAAATTTCACAACTGGGGCATGGCAAAACTGGAAATTTGACCCTTTCCTTCTGACCCCTGAGACCTGCATCCCCAGCCCCCGCTCCCTCCAATTCCCACACTCAAGCGAGCAGGTGAAAGAGGGCTTTGTAGACAGAGAACCACATTGGGACAGGGAGGCTGAGCTCTCTGGTGAGCTTTCCTCTAACAGCCTTTACCACTCATCTGGCACTGGGGATGGCCACAGGGTGAAGGCTAAGCGGACACCTCCCCACCCCCCACCCCCAAAGGGAAGGGTGTGTCCTTAGTTTTCCCTCTGTCCCTGCAACTGCCCACACAGGGCTCTCTGCACACAGAAGTGGTTGGAGACTGTGGGGGCGGATGACTCAGTAGGGAAGGCTCTGTGGTCAGGTGCAGAGAGTGAGTGGTAGGGGCAGTTTTTTAATTGGCAGGGATGCTTTCATAGCCTCTCAGCACCCCATTCCCTCCCTTCTGCCTTTGGTCTAGAGTTACTCTCACCCCCCACTCTAGGATTCAGGCCTGATACCCAGGCCCCAAAACATTCAGGGATTATTATTCAGACTGAGTTAAATACCCCTTGGACACTCTCAGACCCCCTCCTTCTCCTGTATTTCTTCCCATTGTAATTTTCGATGATAATGATAATAATAGCTAATATTTACTGAGCACTTTCTCTATGCCAGACTCTGCACTAATTGCTTTACTCCTATCATCCTGATAAATTGTCACAAGAATACTTTTACTACAAATAAAGAGATAATAGTAGGCAGCAGTGATAGGACCTGCACAAGGGGTTGAACAATGATGGTGGCGCACCCCACTGCTCCCTTTGTTTCCCACATGCTGCGAGGTCCCTGAGGGAGGTGCTCTGGTTGAGTTGTCCACCTTTCTCCAGTGCCCAGGGTTAGTGGGCACTCAAATAAGCATTTGTGAAATGGCTAATTGAGATTTGTCGGGCCAGCTTCCCTGCCCATCCCAGCCGGGTCTGCTGCGGGCCATTCGGTCTTCCTGATCTTGGGACAGCTTGATTCCGGGCAGATACTAGCTAGGTGACCTTGAGCAAGTCATGCATCTTCATGCACTTCAGGTTCCCTCTCGTGATATGAGGTAGTGTAGAATCAAGTTCCTGTTGTGGGACTGATCATGGGCCCAGTGCCTTGCATGTTATGTTATTAAGGAGGATGGCATACTGGCTAAGGGTGCAACTTCGGTGCTATAGTGTTTGGACTGAATTCTAGCTTTGCCATCCCCACCTCTCTGTGTCTGTTTCCCCAGCTGCAAAATGAAGGATAATGAAAGCACATAACTCATAGAGCTGCAGTACAGAGTCCCTGAGCAAACAAATAAGTGAGAAATGAACAAATAATAACTAAGATTCCTAGAGCACTTACGTCTGTTTTAAGGACTTTACAAACATGAATGCTTTCCACCCTCAGACCTCAAAGGTTGAAATCATCTTAATAGATGAGGAAATTGGTAGTAATAATATGCCCAGGATTGCATTCCTGGTAATTTAGTGCCAGGATTCCAACCCAGCACATTGTAAACCCGCAGTACATGTTGGCTGTTGTTATTAGTAATAATAATGATTTTCTTGGCATTCATCCAGACATATCTTGCTGCTCTTCTCTGAGCCCCTGTTTCCTTACCCAGGATGTGTAACTTTAAATGTTCTGGTGAGAAAAGTTCTGATGCATAGTAGGAGCTCAATTAAACAGGCCCTTCTCACCCAAACTGGGCTCTGCCTAGGGCGCCCTCTGGTGGCTATATGCAGCACTGCTGCACCTTATTCCTGTGCTGGGGCAGGGGATTCATGTAGAAATAGGGACCTCTCAAACAAAGGCTGCTCATCTGCCTAGGGTGGATGGGGAGTTGCCTTCAGGACAGGAATTGTGAGGCCAGACCTGATACCCAGCAGCTTTGGAATTTGTAATAGGGGTGTGTGTATGTGTGTGTCATATGAAAGTTAATTATGTTAGGTCATATTAGGATGGGCTGGTTCACACTTGCAATATGACCTTGGCCTTGGCCAGGTCACTTACCACATCTGGATTTGATCTGTGCAGTAGAACGTTGATTGGGATACTATAAAAACCTCTTTGCATCATGGATGACTAGATCCCTCAGTGATGCTTATTGTCCTGCCCACTGCACCACTCCCCCTGCTCCCCAGCCCCTATCAATTCCACCTCATTCTCAGATCCACAGCCCTCTCCCTAGGTATGTGATTTTGGGCAAGTTATTTAATCTTTTCTGTACCACATCTGTACAAGGGCACTCGTAATAGCACTGAACGAATTAATGCACGTAAAGTACTTAGTACAGTGCTTGGCACACAATAGCCACCCGAGCTGTTATTATTGTTATCAGTATTATCCCTATATTTCCTGGTGATATCCTTCTAATCTTCCAGAAAAGTATGAGACACACATGGATGTCTCAAGCTGCTGTGTGACCTTGGGCAAGCCACTTTATCTTTCTAGTTCTCACCCTGGAGGATCCCTTAGGACATGATGCGCCATGCTCTGACTCTGCGTGGAAATCAGATGGGCTTTGGTTGCCTTCTTTTGCCCCACAGGTGACTAGAGAAGGCTGAGCTACCTGTCCCCCCAGTGATTGGGTGGGACAGGGCTTCGTGTCTGGACCCTGATAGAGGCAGGAAGGCAGGGGCCCAGAGAGAAGAGAGCTGGCTCTCATTCTGGCCCAGTACTCACATCCTAGCCATGTGACCTTGGGCAAGTCATGCAGCCTCTCTGGGCTCAGATCCCTGACTTGAGGTGTAGGGAGCAGAGCCACCTGACATTCAGGGCAATAGGGAAGGCTCAGAAACACTGAAATGGAGACATCATGCACATGTCACCTGAGAATGACTGGTTTACATTGAAGGTCCAGCATCTATTAAAAGAAAATCCTGCACCCAAAGGAGGGCGGCCAGGGAATTTATGAGAGTTAAGTTGCTGGCCCCTCTGCAGACATTGTCTCATCCAGCTACCTGTCCCCTCGGGGTGAAGGTGGAGGTATCTCCAGCAAGTACTATTATTGCTATCACTAATGCTTCCAACTACCACTGAGCCCTCCTCGGGTGCCAGGCACTGCACCAATCCTAGAGGCCCAAGGACTTGCCCAAGGTCACTAGAGGAGGAGTTAGGTTTGAAATCCTCCAAAGCCTGTCTTTTTCCAAAACACCAGCGTGGACGTGGAGACCTGCTTCAGGAGCAAGGATTTTCAGTTGGTGGTGGAGGGGCGACGGGATGGTGAGATTCTTCAAATACCACTACGCAATCAGCCTGTGTCTGATGGGATGATGGGATGGGATGGTAGGGGTGGGGAGGAGCTGCTGTTCTAGAAGATGTGCCAGTCCTTGTAAATTTTTGTAAAAAGAATTAATAAAAGTAAGGACGGACACTTATTGAGCACTTACTACGTTCCAGGCACCCTGCCTAGTAGTCATGCACAATAGCGCATGTCTCAGGGAACAGGGCAGTTATTTCCTCTCTTGCCTGAATTCTGCAGAAGCTGAGGCCCAGAGAAGGTCTTGACCCATCAGGTCACCAGGCAAGTTCAAGTCAGAGAGAGGTGAGCCTCCTGCCTCCCAGCCTAGGCTCCTTTCCCAGTCTCTCCCAGATTCCCAGGGCCCCAGACTTCCTGTAGGGAATTTACAGCCCTGATCCTACTTCCCTTGAGATGAGTAGAAAAAGAGGGGTGGTGGGCCTGCTTCCCAGGTGGCCCAGTTCCTGAGGAGGGCCCAGCCCCGCTTAGTGATGGGGGCTGAAGGGGCTGCCGCGTGGTATATTTAGAGCTGCTTCTTGCTGTGCCAGGGCCTCGGGCCTCGAGAATCAGCTCCAGCCAGCTGAGCAGAAAGCCAGGTCTGTCAGCAGCAAAGCGGGATAAAAATAGTTTCTCCTGTCTGCTCACAGAGCTGGGCAAAGGGGCTGGTACCTCCCCCTCCCCTTATTATAGAATCTTTGTTAGCGGTTCCCTGGGCACTGGACCAGAAACGACACCCACCTCCTTCAAGGGCCTGGCAGCTGGTACACCTGCCCACTGGGGAGGGGGTCCTGGGGTGCAGATGAGCAGGGGGCAGAGTGAGCTCTGGCTCAACATGACCAGGGCTGCGGGGGAGGGCGGGGACTGCTGCTGCTGACCCAGGCTTAGGGGGTATCTGGAAGATGCCAGGGTCCCTTCCACCATTCCCACTTGCTGAAATTCCCCATACTCTGGTTTTTCCTGACTGTGACCCAATTCTTGTAGCCCACAGGGAGGCCCACAGCTCTGCTAGAATCAATAGGAAAGCTTTTTCAAGAGGCTGTGCGATAGGAGTGAGTGCCTGAGGGTCTTGAATTGCCCAGCACTGCTTGGTGGAGGTGCCCCCAGCTTCTGAGGAGTGTCCCTGTGGGCCTTTCCCGGACCTTTTTCTGGGGACAGGGTGTCTTGCACAAATGCCATATTCTCGCCAGACCCCCCTGCTTTCTGCCCTTTCTGCAGACAGAGGGCCCATTTCAAGGCCCCTCCCTACCCAAAGGCTGGCGGCAGACACTCCACCCCAGGAGAGACCACAGCTGGGAAGGAGGCCAAGTGTTCTGGGGGCCTCAACACAATCAGCAGTGTCTTGCCATGCCCCCCAGTGGGTCTCCAGGCTCTGGGGGTCCCTAGAACATGCAGATGAAGCACCCACTAGAGGGAGATGTGATAAGGTTCACCAT